CATAATGTCTTTCCTCTATAGCCATATCATTCACTTACAAAGATAAAATCAGAATAGCATTAGATATCTCAATGGTGATCCCCAAAGACAGAAAACATTATTATAATTTGTTTCTTACCCAGAGAATAAACTGTAAACAAAAGTTACTATATTCAACAAGATTATCTTTAAAAATAGTAGAGAAACCAAAATAAGATAAGCCTTTGAGAACATCATGAGTCAAAGCAATTCAGGAACATTAAAGCAGCACTGCAGAAGATAAGTAAAGACATCTTACCAGATAGCTCTCTTGCTTTCATAGCAAAGAAGTAAAACAAGACGCAGAAACAGCAAAGCATGAAACAAGTTTTACTGAAGGAGGAAATGCACTGTCAGTAAGAGTTGGCATTGCAAAACAGAATCAGCCCCAAGCTGTAACAAGCAGTTATCTTTAGTTCACTTTTAGAGGATTTCCATCTAAGTTCTTTCCATTTCTTCCCCTCAGTAATGATGATTTCCAGCTCTCCTAACTTGTGTGTGTGTGTGTGTGTGTGTGTGTGTGTGTGAGAGAGAGAGAGAGAGAGAGAGAGAGAGAGAGAGAGATGCTTTTATGTGAAGAAAACCCTTCACATAATGGGGAGGGGTGGAACCAAACTGGCAATGACAGTAAGATGTTAATGAATCAAAATTCATCTTCAACCAGCAGTCAGTGGGCTAGAATCACCTGAAACTATTTTTTATTGTTGTTAAATTTTCTAAACTTTTTTTTAAAGATTTATTTATTTATTATGTATAAAGTATTCTCAGTATTCTGTCTGCATGTATGCCTGCAGGCCAGAAGAGGGCACTAGACCCCATTACAGATGGTTGTGAGCCACCATGCCGTTGCTGGGAATTGAACTCAGGACCTTTAGGAAGAACAGACAGTGCTCTTAACCACTGAGCCATCTCTCCAGCCCCCACGTTTCTAAAGTTTTAAAGTGCCATTAAAGCCCGGCAGTGGTGGTGCATGCCTTTAATCCCAGCACTCGGGAGGCAGAGGCTGGCGGATCTCTGGGAGTTCGAGGCCAGCCTGGTCTACAAGAGCTAGTTCCAGGACAGGAACCAAAAGCTACAGAGAAACCCTGTCTCAAAAATAAAAAAAAAAAAAAGTGCCATTAAATGAGCACTATGACAACTATGCCTTCTTTTTGCCTACAGTGGTATAAGCAAGTTTCTGGGTACAAGACTATACAACATCACCTGTCCCCTATTTTTCAGACACTTAGTACTCTTGTTCCCATTGTATTTATCTACTTGCTACCTAATATATCACTATACAAAGACAATAAGGAAAGGTAGTTATGAACAAATGGGACAAAAAATAAGAACTAGGAAAGAGACAGTTATATATAACTCACTAAATTATTAATTATATCACTAAGATTAACAGGGTAGAATAAAAAGTGAACAATATTTGAATCAATCGGGAAATGAAGAACAAAATTAAAGAAACCAGGAATATATCTCAAAAATAATGCTAAATATAAGATGACTTTACTCTCTAACTAAAAGATCCAGGGTAGCTGATTGGATTTTTTTTTTTTTTTTGGTTTTGGTTTTTTTAAGACAGGGTTTCTCTGTACCTTTGNGAGAGGGCCTCGTGAGGGTTGGGACACACTGGCTTTTGAGTCAGGCCATTCCATTTTTGGAAGGAAGAAAATTCTTCGTGCGTTCTGCCAAAAATCCACCTACTCGCAACTCCCCCACATGGGTCCTGACTCTGCCAGGAACCAAATGTCAAAAAAAAAAAAAAAAAAAAAAAAAAAAAAAAAAAAAAAAAACCACAGCTACTAGCAATGGTGCACACAGACTTAAAGTCACGGAACTGATAATGATATACCAAGCAAATGAAAAACAAAAGCAGGGGCTGGAGAGATGGTTCAGTGGTTAAGAGCATTGCCTGCTCTTCCAGAGGTCCTGAGTTCAATTCCCAGCAACCACATGGTGACTCACAACCATCTGTAATGAGGTCTGGTGCTCGCTTCTGGCCTGCAGACATACACATAGACAGAATATTGTATACATAATAAATAAATAAGTATTTAAAAAAGAAAAACAAAAGCAAACAGGAGTAGTTGCATCAATGCATAATGATTTTAAATATATATTCACTTATTTATTGTTGGTGCACCCTATTTCATTAAAAAATAATCCTACTGGACATAATGAAACAGATAGGTAGAGGACAGATATGTAGAGGACATAAAGAAACAGAGCAGTAGGGGCTCCATATATTAATCATCCAGACACTTGTTCATATCACATGTCTTCCAAAACTTCCTGTTTTGGGGGCAGGCTTGTCCCCTAAGTCATTAACAGGGATTAAAAAAAAAAAAAAAAACAGCAAGCTGTTACAGGTATTAAAAACGTTGTTCTCCCTAAGAATAATTAGAAGGTAAACTATTGCCAGTAGAGATTACTATTTTTATTTCATAAGAATACCTAGAGTGGGACGGAAAGTCAGAAGGTTATCCATGGAGAGAATGCTCTGCTCTGCCTGAAACTCTCAATTGATAACGCTAGCATGACTGTTTCAGTAAGTCTTCCCCAGTGATGTGGGATTCCCCTCTGTATGCTGTGAATATCATTGGTTAATACAGGAACTGATTTGGGCCTATAGCAGAGCTATAGGGGAACAGAGCTAGGCAGGGAAAACTAAATGGAATTTTGGGAGAAAGGAGGAGGAGTTAGAGAGAAGTTATGGAGTTGTGCCAGAGGCAGACGTGTTGAAACTTTGCTGGCAGGCCACGACCTCATGATGATGCACAGATTAATGGAGATGGGTTAAATTAAGATGTAAGAGTTAGCCAATAAGAAGCTAGAGCTAATGGGCCAAGCAGTGATTTAAATAATATATTTTCTCTGTGTGATTATTTCGGGGCTAAGTGGCCAGGAACTAACTAGCAGCCTCCTCCTACACTCCAATCCATTCCTGCAGGATGATTGCATTTGATTTGCTGATGTTATCTATCTGCTGCTATGTGCTATTTTACTTGGAAAGCTCAGCTAAGAGAGAAGGGGCCCTATGCTCAACTCAAGACATTGCACCAGGAATTGCATTTGTATGCTTCAGCGGGGCTTCCTCAGTTTACTTTTGTTAAATATTTGTAACCACCTGATATGATAATATCACCTATTATTTGCTCTGCCAGTTAGGATACTCCTGTTAGCTTTACTTGATCTAGTTAGCCTTCTATTGTTGGGATAAACACAGTGGCTAAAGCAAACTTAGGGAGTTATAGTAGTTTAAATGTAATTGGCCCCCATAATCTCATAGGGAGTGGCACTGTTAGGAGGTGTGGCCTTGTTGAAGGAAGTATGTCACTGTGGGGGCAGCTTTTGAGGCCTCATATACTCAGAGTACTGCTGAGTGTCAAACTCTTAGTCAAACTAACCAAAATGAAGACAGAGAAGACCCAAGTTGATAAAATTAGAAATAAGATACATTAAAACAGATACTTATAAAATCCAGATCATTTTTAAAGAATATTTTTGAAAAGTTGTGTTCTAATAAATTGGGAAATCAAATATATATATATATATATATATATATATTTAGGAACAACGAACCTACCAAATTTGAACCAAGGAGTAGAGAAGGCCATAAATCCATACTCATTACAGACATTCAAATCAAAACAACGTTGAGATTCTACCTCACTTTAGTTAGCACATTATTAACAAAATAATAAGTAGCAAATGTTTCTGAGGTTATAGTAAATATGGAATGCTGATTACACTTTCAACAGTAAGGTAAATTAGTTCATAGGCTATGGAAATCAAAATGGAGTTTTCTTAAAAGCTAATGGCAGAACTCCATGTTATAGTCCCATAACATGTGTGTATGTGTGCTCAAAAGAACCAAACTTTCCATAAAGAACATATATACCTGAATCCCCATGCTCATTGTTGCACTGTTCACAAAAGCCAATTCATGGAATTGCCCTATCTAAACATCAATAAGTAAATGGATAAAGAATGTGTAATAGTATATTCATGTATGAAATTCTCAAATGATAAATATAAAAATCAAAAAGAAATCCCGACATGAAAAATAACACCTTAGAAAAGCATATAAAAGAGATAAAATCATCTATATGAAATTTAAAAAGATAAATGCATTGCTGGGCAGTGGTGGTGCATGCCTTTAATCCTAGCACTCAGAAGGCAGGGGCAGGTGTTTCAAGGCAAACCTGGTCTACAAAAGCTAGTTCCAGAACAGGCTCCAAAGCTACAGAGACACCCTATCTCAATCCCCCCCAAAATAAAAAGATAAATGCACATATACAATGAAGTATATTCAACCATACAGTGAATGAAATTCTATCATTGGTATGAAAATGGATATTGCAATACTAAACAAATAAGACACTTCAGATAAGCATCATGTTTTTTGTCATATGTAGAACCAAGATAGTAAAAAACAGAAATATATAATGGCCACTACTATATGGGGAAAAAACCAGGAGGGTGATGGATGTTAAATATTAATATTGTACTTTGTGTACATACATGAAAACGATATAATGAATCTATTATTTGGCTTAGTTAACATACATTAAAAATTTTGAAAGCCTGAATAGGCTGAATTAAGTAGGAATAAAAAGGATATCTGAACTTGAACATGATTATGTGATCATATTTTCACATAAGAATAGTGAAAAAAGAATCACGAGAAAACAGATCTCTGAGACATAAGATCTTTGTAAGACCATTATAAGACCAAACATCTGGCTCACTGAGATACCTGAGGAAGGCAAGCTAAAGGCGAAGAGTATATTACACCTATTCGGCGGAATACAGCAGAAATTTCCCCCATAGTTTATGAAAGTCATGAATATGCAAGTCTTTATTTCGTATTGAATCTGACCAAGAGAGAACCTCTTTACAGCATGTTATGACTAAATAACCACAGTGCAGATCAGAGAAAGAATATTAAAATCTGTGAAGCAGAAGTGCCAAAGCACATTTAAGGGCAAGTTAATTAGTTGAAAAAGCATTTCTCTCACCAGGAAATTTCTTTCAAAAATCATTCAATTGCTATTTATTTCATAACAACATGAGGTATTTCAAAGGGCACATATTTTGTAGAAATTAAGCACACAACTTTGCATTCACTCATTTGTACACATCACACATGAACAAATACACTTACAGAAAGACTTGGAGAAAAGGGAATATACATATACATATATAATTTCTTTAAAAAGTTTCTTAATTTGAAAAAGCGATAAAGTCTTATCTCCTAAAAACCTTCACTCTTCATTTTCATATGTAAACATAAATATCAAATTTAGTTACGTATCAGCATCATACTAAAATACACCACAGACAGTGTAAGAATTAGTACAGTACGTAACAGAGATTGACAATATATCTGTATACAAAACATGCTCCTCAAACATTGAGGTGTTATTACGATACTAAGGTGTGAACTTCCAGTGTAATACTGACCTCTTGGTGGGCGAGTCGATGGAATTTACAGAAATATTCCCCCAGGGACATCCAAAGAGGACTCCCTTTCTGTGGCATCTATTGGAATGTAATGACTCCTGTAAAAGAAGTGACTCTGGAAACTTGGAGTAAACACGACTTCAACAGCCTTCCAAGGTTCCCAACTATCCTGAACCTTCATGACCATCACTGCGATTGAAGGAAAGAAAGAAGTCACCTAGCATCCTATTCCTAGACTTTCCAAGGCCCCACTAGAACTGCATGGGTTGCCCCTATCCAGCTTAAAACTTGACAAGGGGCCAATATGAAGGTAAACCAACATTCTTTTTTTCAAGTCAACATGTGCAAAGTAGCAATAACTGTCCATTTCAGAAACATTTAGTATATCTCAGGGTATTTGATTTTCCGCAGCAACTGCTGTTGTCTTGCGCGCAGTATCTCCCTTTCCATCAGGAGCTTGTACTCATCAGCCTGCAGGGTGCGAATGTACTCGGTGGCCTTTTTCAGAATGACCACTTTGGCTGCCTTCTCATTGTGCACCAGCTCAGGCACAAGGTCCCTGAGGATCAGGAAGCTGGAGCGCATATTGTCACGGCGTTGGCGCTCCATCATATTGTGGTTGAGGCGACGCTCCATGTCCTGCAACTCTGAGTTGCGGGGAGCCACTCTTGTAGGCTTCTGTGGGAGGATGCACTTGAGGGGCCGTAGTGAAGCCTGGCTCTTGAGCTTCTTGTGCGGCGGCGCGTCCTCGCTGTGCACACAGGGCAACGGTGGCGCAGCGTAGTTGTGCTGCTCATGAATGAGGACGCAGCGCTTGAAGATCAACTCGCTGGACTGCGCGCGCCCGGGGCCCAGAGCTGCGTTCCCAGGACGCGCCGCGGTGGGGAGCCTGGAGACAGTCTTGGAGGACTGGGTCTCCTCCACCGTGACCACATCGATTTCCTCTTCATCTTTTTTCTCAGTACCTGAGTTGCTCAGGATGTTCTCTCTGGGGGTGCTGGAGGCCTGGCGGTTACCACGGCTGACTGCAGTGCCGGCAGCGCCAGCACTGGCGGGGATGGCCGGTACGGGCACCCACTGGCGCTTGTTCGCTGGGAAGAAGACCACAGCGGGGTCCATGCACTCTGAGTCCAGGTGGGCAAGCTCTGTGAGCCAGGCGGCTTTCCCACGCCCCACACTTGCTGTTCCGCTGCGCGCGTGGCCCGCAGAGCTGGCTGCAGCAGTCGCTCTAGGGGCCGAGGTGCTGCGGCCGGCGGGCAGGGACCCAGAGCCGTTTGGCAGCTTTTTGCTTACCGCACTCTCCAGCTTCCCCCGGGTGGAGAAACCACTCCACATGCAGTCCTGAAGGATGACCGGGTTGTTGCTGAGGCCACAGAGTCCTCCCAGGCCAAAAACATCCTCCTCGGTCGGGTTACCCCCTAGGTCGGCCTCAGGCAGCAGCATCTCGGTAGCCCAGTTCACCGGCTCCTGGCTGTGCTCCGCTAAAGCGCGGCTGGGTGACAACCGAGGCGTAGGCAACAGTTCAAACTTCTTCCAGATGTCCTCCCCCGGAGGCGTGGAGTTGCGACCGCCAAAGTAGACGTCATCTTCTTCCGGATAGAAGCAGGGTTTCAGCGAGTCAAACTCCAGGTCCGAGTTCTTGCAGATCATCCCGGGCATGCTGGATGTAGTGCAGCTGAGCATCCGTTAGTCTCCAGCTGGCGACTAAACACTTCTTTCTTCTCAGCTCTTTTTAAATACAGTGGTGCTTCCGTCCCGTGGGGGGGTCACACAGGGTGTGGGACTCAATCAACCTCTAACACTACAGGACTACCGGAGGACCTAATCTGAGGCTTTTCTGTGCCGGAATCTCTGGTGGGCTTTAGGGACAGAGGGGTCCTCCTGGTGGCTGCAGTCTGATTGCCCTAAGGCTCTCCTGGCTGCAACCCAGATCTAAGGAGCATCTTCCCAGGAGCGTCGTGTCCTGTGCCTTCCTCCTCCACCCTTCTTTGAATCCACCCACCAGGTCCAGACAGATGATTGTCACTTCATGTGAAACTTTCAAGGACAGAAGGGCACTGATGATGCCTTTCAAATTCCCAAAGAAAACAACTTTCCACCAAGATTAGTATACACAGCAAAATTACCCTCCAGAATAAAAGGAGAAATATGGTCTCAGAGAAACATAAATTGTGGGAGTGCAGGACCACTAGATGACCATTAAGGAGGTGTTTAAGGAAACCTCTGCTCGGAAGAGGAAGAAACATAGGGACTAGCATGACTGCTCCTGAACGAAAGTATCCCATTATAAGAGTAGACATGCAAATGAGAAAAGGAAAGGAATCAAACATTACCAGTACAACAAAACATAAAACTCAGAATATTTGAAAAAAGAAGAATAAAATTATAGTTACTACCCAGTTACTACAATGAGTATAATAATCTTAATTCTCCAACTAAAAGACACAGAGAATTTACTTGAGCTAAGATATTCTAGAAGTATGATGTTTACAGGAAAATAATATCTCTGCAAAGAAACAGATTGAGAGAAAATATGGAAAATGATAATCCAAGCAAATGTAATCAAGCAGGAGTAGTCATAATCATAACCAGCAAAATAGACTTTAAGACACAAAAACATGTCACTATACACTGAACAACAGAAGAATTCATGAAGAAGATATAACTAAGGGTTGGGAAGTAGTAAAATGCTTGCCTGGCATGGGCAAGGATCTGAATTTGGACTCCACACCATAAAAAGAAGATACAACCACTATAAATGTAGATGCTTCCAGTGCTGATATCCGTAATTTTATAAATCCACAACTAGTCATAAGGTCTCATTAAAATAATGGCAGGTAACTTAAATACCCCAATTCAAATACACCCATTGAAAATGATAGATCTTCAATGCCAAAAATTAGATAAGAAACATCAGAATCATACTAAATGTAGTAAGATGACTTAGAGACCTCTATATAATATTCCATTCAACAGCTGCAGAATCCACACTTGATTATCAGCATTTTAACATGCCCCATATATTTAGCCTCAGAGAAATTATTATTGAATTAAAATACAATAATTTGTTGTGTTTTATATATAATCTCAATGGAATTAAAACAGAAATCAATAGTAATAGAAACTAAATTATCTATTCATACATGCTGTGGTTAGACAACATAGTAGTTCATGACTGGTGAATTATTGAAGAAGTCAAGGTAGAAATTATAAAATTCTTCTAATCAAATGAAAGTGTCTATATTAGTCAAATAGAGAAATTTTAAATAAATACTTGGAATGTGTCCCAAGGACTTATAAGGACAAGGCCCAAACCAAATTCCATATCAGTACAAAAGGAATAACAAATAGTACAGAAAAATAAATGAAATAGAAACAAAAAACAGCAAAAAAATTAATTTAAAGGTGGTTATTGTAAAAGGGATAAGGAGAACCATTTTATTAAGTTTATCAAAAGAAAGGGAGAAAAATGACAAATAAGTAAAACTAGTTTTAAAAACTAATTAGAAATCCAGAAACTCATTAGGGACTATTTTGTTGAACTACATGTAAATATATTGGAAAATATATAGGTGGACATATATGCTATAAAACTGAACCAAAAGCATAACTAATCAATCAGTACCAAGTAGCAATATTGAAGCTGTAGCAAGAAGTTTTCCAACAAAGAAAAAAGATAAGACTGGATAGATTCCCTGCTGCTCTTTAAAGAATGAATAATACCAATGTTCCCTAAAAAGAATCTATAAAATAGGAAGAGAAGCAATTACATCAAAAGTCATTCTATGAAGCCAATATGTCTGTGTTACTAAAACTTGGAAAAAATACAGCTAAAAAGTAACTTGTTCCAATATCTCTTAGGAGCATAAATACATTATTACTCAACAAAAATACTTTTAAATAGAATTTAAAAGTACATTAAAAATATCAATCATCTTGATCAAATTGGTTTCAGTTCAAGAATGTGTGAATGGTTCAATATAAGTATTTCAGAAAACGTAATGATAGATTCAAATGTAAAAAAATAATACATGATTATATCAATAGGCATATGAAAATCCTTTCATTTAATTAAATATCCCTTCACAATAGAAGTCACAAATAAATTACATATAGCAGGATTGTATCTCTACATAACAGGGGCATTATGTAACAAATCCATAAGCCAGCATACATACTGAACAGTAGTGTACAAGTGAAATGTTGAAATTCACACATATGCAAAAAGGCTCCACATAGACAAAACAATCCAATGGTACTAAAGAGAGGACACAGAAATAAATATACTTTTGGCAAACTGATTCTCAATAAATGTAGCAAAAACAGCCCTTGGAGAAAGGACATTCTTTTTTAACACAGTGTGCTGGGAACACAAGTTATCTGCATGTACACAAGTTATCTGCAAGTACATGAGAGAATCAAGGCTCTTGTGCCTCCTTTTGTACAAATTCTGTTCCAAATTAATTTGATTTTAAATTTAAGATCCAAAACCTTAAAAGTTCATAAAAACATAAGGAAGATATCCCAACAAAGATGCCCATGTAATGATTTCCCGAATAGAATGTCAATAGCTCAGGATTAAAGCAAGAGTTGACAAAAAAGATTATAACAAAGTGGGGCTGGAGAAATGGCTCAGAGGTTAAGAGCCTGCTCTTCCAAAGGTCCTGAGTTGAATTCCAGCAACCACATGGTGGCGCACAACCATCTGTAATGGGGTCTAGTGCCCTCTTCTGGCCTGCAGGTATACACACGGAAAGAATATTGTATACATAATAAATAAATATTTAAAAAAAGATTATAACAAAGTAAAAATTTCTGCAAAGAAAAGGAACCAACAGAGCTAGAAGATGATTAATGCTAATTGTCAGCTTCATAGAATTGAGTCACCTGTGCACCTCTGGGCATGCCTGTGAAGGTTCTATTTTAAAAAAAACAGTATTTTTTAAAAAAATAATGTATTCTTTGAGAATTTCGTGAATGTATACAGTGTATTCAATTATATTTACTTTCCACTCATCTCTCCCCTCAAACTCTTCCTAGATCTTCCTCTACATCACTCTCCCTGTTTTATGTCCTTATCTTTTTAAGTAACTCACAGAGTGCAGTTTGTGCTGCCCATAGACACCCACTGAAGCATACTTAACCTATCAAGGATGATATTCCTAAAGAAAACTTACCCTGCACTAGTACCCATCAATTGTCAGTAGCTACTCAGTTAGTGGTGTAGTCTTCCACGCCCCTCCTGCATCTATGCTGCAGTGCTAACTGGACTGATGCTGTGCAGGTCTTGTGCTGTGATTCTGTCATGTCCAGAAGACACGGTTTCACCTGTCTTCCCCAACCTCTGGCTCTCGCAGTCTTCGTGTGCTCTCTTTCTCAAAGTTTTCTGAACTGTGGAAGGAGGCATGCGATACAGAGGTTCTAATCCAAGCACACCCTAGACACTTGTTCTCTGCACAGGTGATGCAGAAAACACACCCAATGGCAGTGAGAACACTTCTTGGACAACAGTATTCTGGACTGTATAAGATCCCGAAAACTAGTTGAACACTTGCATGCATTCATTGCCCTCTCTTTCTTGCTTGCAGATGCATTGCAGGTGCAAGCTCCTGCCTCTGTAACTTGCCCGGCATGAAGGACTATAGCATAAATTGTGACATAGAATAAATCCTTCTCCCTTAAGTTGCCTTTGTCAGAGTGTTTTTGTCAAAGCAACAAAGAAGAAACTGAAAAAAGGGGTAACCTCCAGAATGGGAGTATATATTTGCTGCCTGTTCATTGGGCAGAGGGTTACTACCTAAAAGTTCAGCAAGCAAAGCTACAGATAAATTTAGAACTGATCTTTTCAGTTTTTCTGATTTACCTTGAAACATTATTATTTCAGGGTAGTGGTGGCGCATGTCTTTAATCCCAGCACTCGGGAGGCAAAGACAGGCGGGTCTCTGTGAGTTCAAGGCCAGCCTGATCTACAGAGCTAGTTCCAGGAAGCCAGGACTGTTATATAGCGAACTCTTATCTTAGAAAATCCCTCCAAAATATATTATTAATAATATTTTTCTGGGTCCGGAGAGACGGTTAGAGTGTTAAGAGTGCATACTGCTCTTTCAAAGGAGAAATTCAGATCCCAATACTAGCATTGGACAGCTTACAATCTTCTGTAACTGAAACTCCAGACCTCAAACCTCCTTTAGACAAGCACACATGCGGCCTACACAATTCTCTCTCTCTCTCTCTCTCTCTCTCTCTCTCTCTCTCTCTCTCTCTCTCTCTCTCTCATAAATTAAAAGGAAAAGTAGATCTTTAAAATAAATCAGACTTTTCCATTGCAAGTAAAAAATTGGACTTGATGTTATTTTAAGAGGACACAAATTGGGTGGGTAGGGAAAAGAGGATGGATCAGAAATGAGTTAGAAGAGGGGTGAATATGACCAAAATGCATTGTATGAAATTCTTGAAGAACTAATAAAATACTTTCATGCTGATAGTTAAAAAATAAGGCTATTTATGTTTAAATGTTGGCTAGATGATGAAATAAGGAAGAATGGAAATAATAGAAGAAAGAAAATTGATGATATGAAAGATTGATTGATTGACTAAAGATAGATAGATAGATAGATAGATAGATAGATAGATAGATAGATAAGATAGATAAACAGATAGATAGATAATGCAGAGGGAAATCCATTATAATGCCACCTGTTTCTAAAATCCAGAACCTGTATCACACATTTATGAGGTGACCATCATGTATGGTAGAAGGGGCAAGTGATTCTTTTCCTTTTGTCAGCCTTTTTAAATTAACACCACAAAACTTTATTTCTATGTTTAGTGCACATTTGTCCTAAATTCTGAGTAATATGAGAACAGAATTATCATACAACTTGGGAGAAAGTTTGATATTCTCCACTGAATGAGTTAAAAAGGAACGTAAAACTATAAAATATTAGTTTAAGTGTGGGTTCTCAGTTATAGTAAATACAACAATAAATATTTTACTGTTTTCTCTAATTTTCCAAGAAGAATTTAGTACAAAAGTTTTTTTTATAACAGTTTTATTTCAAGAAAGGAAGGGCTACTTATAATAAACATTTTACTTTAAGTATAGGGAACAAATAAATCTTATCATCAAACTCCTAATTCCTACTTAAAGCTATGAATTGAAATGGATTAACTAATGTCAACTGCAAATCTAGTGTCTAAAACCTGTATTACATAAATTCTCAAAGAATCTATTATCTATCATCTTTCCTTTTCTTTATTCTATTATTTCCATTCTTTCTTCTTTCAATGTGTAGCC